GGAGAAAAGCCACTTGCCTTGGGAGTTTAGATTCAGCCTAGCTGATCACAAGGCCTAGATCACTATGACAAAGGTCTCTGTAACCACCATCCCCTGTACTGCAAACTGCATGTTGAGGAGATTAGTCAGTGAGGACAGCTTCAATTTGTTAGCTGAATTGCAGGACAGACTGGGTACGTTTTTAACATTATGAGTCTATTAACTTTCTGAGAAAATCATAATGCCAGGTCATAGTGAATTTTCCCTTAAGAGGAGAAAAGCGCACACACACACACACACACACACACACACACACACACACACACACACACATATATATATATATCATCAATTTCTGCCCTGAGCTTCATCAACTCATGGCTCACTCACATTTGATTCTGTTGTGGCATGAGGTATTAAAAGCACAGTCTGATCTGAATGTTGGTATTTCATTCAATCATATTGCTTCATTTAGGAATATATAGATAATTGCTAAGGAAGCTTTTAAAATTTTAAATCATGGGTACCATGTGAACACTTAGAAAAAATTCTTGAGTCTCTTGAAGTCCAGCAAATTTACTATAAATATTTTAGTTTTTTTTCTATGAGGTTGATGCCTGCCAAGCATTAAGAAATTGTTAGCTGTAAAATTTTCTTTTAAAAAGTAATTAAAATATTTGAAAAATGTTATACTAAGTTTTATTTTACAATATTGGAAAGAACTATTTTACTTTGGAAAGTCAAGGGCTTTAATTAAGTATAATGTCTGAAAATAATTCCTATTTTGATAGGGCAATGCCTTCAGGAACAAGATTTTTGTTTTTTGAACTTGTTTCAGGTTAAGATAGTAACATTTGAAAACCTACTTGAGATACAGTGCCATATGGAGTGAGTAGATGAACACTGTTTACATTTCAGACCTCGGCCACCTATCTGGAAAAAATAAAGACAAGAGATTTCCCTGTTCACCGCTTTCATTAGTAAGGGTCAGTGTTCCTAATTTTTCCTTCCATCTGGAAGTTCTCATTATCTCTTCAACAGATACAATGTATGTTTAAGAATAGTTTTCCAAATTCCCATCAATAAGATTTTAATCAAAGCACTATACCTTATAATTTTAACAAAATAACTTAATTCACTAAACTAATGACATCTCATCTAAAATTAAAGAAACAAAATATACTTAGAATAAATTGATAATTATCTTAGCTCAAATAAAAAAACATTTTTCTATCTATTCAAATAGGCTTTGAAATATAGTCTATGGCTGAGTTGCCTTTATTTGTCCTTTATCATCCTGAACACCACCACCTGCCAATTATGTTTAGCCTAATAACACTCCTTAGACCAATTCTTATCTTCCAGTGGCATTTGTTTAACTACTTGCTTTGACGTAAGGAGGTAAGTTAGTTCCAGAACTGAAAAATCTTTCTCTATGGTCAAATAATGCTGCTCTTCCTAAACCACTGTAAACTTTTAAGTCAATACTTGCCACTTGAAGCCTAAACATTAATGTGCTTATTACCTTACACCCTGAACCCAGGCCAAGGATATTATAACAAAGAATAGGAATTTATCAAAAACTTAACATTCAGCATAAGAAAATATATAGCATACATATTTACACTTGCTTTGCCTCTTCTTAGGAGCCCTAGAGGTGTAGTGGTTACACACAAGCTAAGCAGTTCAAATCCCCCAGCCTCTCTGTGGGAGAAAGACGAGGCTGTTGGCTCCAGTGAGGATTTCTGGACTCGGAAACCTGATAGAGGGTTGCTAATCATTGGAATCTACTTGATGGCAGTGAGGTTTTTTAAAATATATATTTGGACTTTTAAAAATAGGTGGCTACAGAAAGGAAAGTATATTTTACTTTTATTTTCTAGAAAAGAAGAAGCAATGTTAAATACTATAATGAGCTCTTCAATGAGCTAAGCCAAATTAAGACTGAATGATCTCCTTGTACGGTCGTGGTTAAAGATTGGGCTAAAAACTCCAAGAGCAGTGGTTCAAACTCACCAGCAGATCCTCAGGAGAAAGAGGCCTTTTTACTGCATAAAGTTACAATCTCGGAAACCCAGAGGAAAGTCTACTCTGTCTTACAGGGTCTCGGAGTCCAAACTGACTCAATGGCAATGAGTTTGGTTTGGTTTGGACCTGTGCTGAAATAACAGATGATCTACTCCTTTTTGATATGCACAAAAGGCTTGAAAATTAAGATTCATTAAGAATGTCTAAGCAAATCAGCTATTTATTTTGTGAAAATGAACTGGTAACACTCCATTCAGTCTTCAAACTGGACCCTTTCAAAACTGGACATTTTCAAAACCAATTTAATATCATATAAAATATAATTATAATTAACTTTTTTAAATGTACCCCACATATTTCTCACTGTACCATTAAACAACAATATTGTAAGGTGGGGTTCAGAAACAGTCCATTAGTTGGTATTTTCAAAGAAGTATAGCTTTAGTGGCATTTTAGGTAGCTTGAAAACATCATATAATCTAACAACTATTCTCCATCTTTTATATGAGCGAAACAAGTAGGTTTAAAGTTACAGGAAAATGTAGATTTAGATAAAGTATACACAGTGAGAGATTATGAAGCAAAATAAAACAAAACAAAGTAAGCTATTAGTTTTTTCCCTCCACTCATATAAGCTCAAATAAAAAGGAAGAGAAAAATACATAGTTGATTGCATACTATACAACCAGAACTGCTTAAGATATTTTACACACATTCTCATTCGGTTTTGAAAACAATCCTATTTAGAATGTGTTATGAAACACAATTTAAATAGGAGAAACCTCAGTCTCAGGGAGAACTTGCTCTGGTTACACAGAAATCCAAGAGAATGAAGTCAAATTGAAATTGAAATGTCAGTTTGGCTCAAAGCATGACTACACATTCCACTATGGCCTACTGATGAATAATTCTTCCCCCCCAAAATAAATCACTCTATGTGCTTAGTTCTGAAATGGTAGAGAATTATGTCACATCACAATGTCATTTGCATTTAAGGCAACTGTGTTAGTCTGGGTTGACTAGAAAAACAAATTCATAGGCACTCATGTGTGTAAGAAAGAGCTATATATAAAAGAGTAATTGTACATTAAGAAAACATCCCAGCCCAATCCAGATCAAGTCCATAAGTCCAATATTAGCCCATATGTCCAATACTAGTCCATAAATACGTCTTTAGACTCACACAGCCATGCAATAATGCCTAATGCAGGAAGAGCACAGGCCAGTAGGTGCAAAGTCTTGTGGATCCAGTGGCGGTAGAAGCATCTCAGTGTTGGCAGGGATCTCCATGAGGCTCCTCCATCTCCCAGGGCTCTAGCATAGCTCGTTTTTTGCCAGAAAGAATGTCTCACAGGGAGTAAGCACATGTCCCACCTACAGCGAGCTATTTATCTCCACAGGGCCTCTAAATGAGGTCATCAAACTGCAGCCTGATTGACAAGCTAACCCTCACCCCTTCACTCTTAAATCTCAAATTGACAACAGATTAACTACCACAGCAGTGTGTAGGGTTACTTCTCTGACTTTCCTGACTTGTAGAGTCAATAGAAGAGTCTTTCCCTTTGGGCCCTATCAACTTTCTTTTTATTTTGAAACACCAAATCCTTATTTCTAAATAGTGAGCAATCTCTTAAGAATAAAGATTTCCTACACAGATGAAAGTGCCAAATCACTTTTGATGAACAAGGATTCTTCAGTTTTATTGTGATTTTAATATTACAAAAGATGAAGGGTTGAATATATTCATTTAAAAAATACTTCAAAAAATATTTCAACACAATAGTAAGGAGCCAAATAACCCACCTGGTTTCGTCAATTTAAATAAGATATTCAGGGAGGGTAGTTATAACTTATTTAGATTATTCTAACCTCCAACACTGTAATTTGTAAACACCTCAACAGTTAATCACGCCACAAACATTCCAGTAGAAGTTCAGCACAGGAAATGGCACTTTAGACTGATTACTGGAGACTTGTGCTTTATCAGAACTGTATATACACAACTTTGCAGACTACCTCATTATTAAGTCAAGCACTTCCACACATCGCAATAAAAGCACTTTTGAGAACCAGAGTGCAGGATGCAGGGTCTACAAGAAGCCCAACAGACAACTTTATGTCCTACAGCATTCTTAGCCAATGGCTTTCAAGCTCCTTATGCGCTGAAATCACTTCATTTTATCCCCCCTTTTTACTCTACAGTACCAAAAAGGAGAAGTCGAATTTTGATGAAACTTAAGGGAAATGAGACTTCCAGGCAGCATTGTCAATCCCTTTTACTTCTGGTTACTGGGTAGTTCAGGAGTTCTTCAAAGGTACAGGAGCACACAGCACTGATGCAATGCCTTGTGTTTTACACAGACGCGGCGGCTCAGTCTGCGCTTGCACACTCACTGACCTCTATCACAACTTGTTTCCCAAATGCACCCTCAGTGGGCCCCTGGGAGGTTCAGGAAGAGGGTTGGATAGCACTTTTCACTTGGGGCGGCAGCACCTAGCATGTACCTTACTGGTAGGCGAATAATGGCGGCATCTTTCTGACTCCTAGCCAGAGACTTATCAAACTTATACCAAGCGCATAACATTGCAACAAAAGTTTGAGAATGCCATTTATTCACGATTAGAAACCGGGCAGTGGCGGCCATGTGGCTTTTCGGATTTTAGATACACATAACTTGTAAAATGAATAACAATCAATAACATAATAATTTTGGAAGCGCTTGTCCTTAAGTGAGACGAACGTAGCTACACTTGATTAAATTAAACCACCATTGTCAGGAACAATTTTTCAGTTTTGACAGTTCAAGGGACGCCTTCTTTTGAAGTGTTGATGGATGCGCAACACCCATTTCCTTGTTCTTTAACCAACGATTTACTCTTGGCGAAAAGTTTGATACTTTTTAAGAGGAGGGAGTGCCACGGTGAAAAAAATTACGCCTCGTCCCAGTTCGAGCGGAGATTGACCACTAGCATAAACAAATGTCTGTACTCACTTTTGTCCCCCAGACTTGTCCACTTCGGGTGCCCCTCCAGCTCCCAAACTACCTAGAACAGGAAGCGCTACTCTGTACTGGGCTCTGGCTCCGCCTCCCCAAAAGTACGGAAGGTGAGCTGCACACCTGAAACAGGTAAAGGGGCAAAAAAGCGCCCTGCTCTTGTCTATGTAAGACATCCACTTTGTTGATATTCCCCGGGAAAAACATAGCAAGAATGACTGTGCAGGCAACGAAGGAAAGGCGAATCTTTTAATTTTTTTAAGTTGGGCAAGGTGAACGCGGATGGGCCCTGCTAGTCTGGGAAGTGCTTCACCTGAGTGCCTGGCTGGCGACGGCGGGCGGCTCCGGGGCCGGGGGCCCTGCCTGCGCCGCGCTCCGAGGCGGCCGCGACCTCCCCGCCGACTGCAGCCACCGCGGGGGTTCGCGCCTTGTGGCCCCTTCGAAGCTGAGCAGGGTCGCTTGCTTTCCGTTGAAACATCGCCAGTCTTCTTCCGGTCTCACCCTGCCGCCCCCGGAACTCTTGAGCCCCTCACACTGCCAGCCGCTCTAGAGCTCCAGCGAACAGCCTCTGGTCGCCACCGAGTGTTCCCGCAGGGTAGGCGGCTCTCCCCTCCCCCTCCCCCCCCACCCTCTCGGCCTCTATCGCTTTAGTCGCCCCATCAGGTGAATGAACTCCTGCCACACCGCGTGTTCCTAATGTTTTGGACCTAACAGGATTCTTTGAATCCCTTCCAACGTCACATCTTGGCCACCCACATTCTAAGACAGCCGAAGCTGCCTGAAGACCAAGAGGGTGGAGCTGCGACCGTACTACCACCACGGGCCCCGCAGGTGACCCGCGGTCCCGGGCGCGCAGTCGGTCACGTGAGGAGAGCCCGCCCCTCCGGGGGCGGGGCTAGAGTCCAAACTGCGCTTGCGCGCGGGAGCCGGACGCTCAGAATGCGCATGTGCCGGCATCCGTGAAGGTTCCTGCTGGTGGTTGGGTCCCACGTTGTACATCTCTGTGGGAGAGAAGATGGCTGAGCAGGCCCCCAAATCCGTTCTGTTTGTATGCCTGGGTAAGAGGGTGCTGGTTTAACTCCGCTGCTGAATTCACCAGGAGGGTTGGATATGGGCTTCTTGCACTGTGGGCTGCGCCGCTGATCTTGGCAAAGTGTGCCTGAAGGGCCTTGGACAGGGAGCTAGAGACCTTACGAATAGGGGGCGTCCTGAGACCTTACGAATAGGGGGCGTCCAGCACCTGCAGAGCCCTCTCGAAATTCATGCTTCCCTTATTGCATGTACCTAGAATCCCTGTCCTGCTCCACATAGCCTGATAGCTTGATACTCTTCTATGTGTGAGACAAACTGATGCCCTAGGGCCCTTGGAAACACTGGCTATTTGGGAGTGCCCGATTACCCTTGCCGAAAAACAGATCTGAGCTTTAAGGGGATTACGTTGGAAGGGTTCCTGATTGCTTTATTCTGAAAGTCAGGCCATGAGGATAGACGTTAATTTTTCCGATGACTTTATTACCTATTTTCTCTGACCCCATCTGCCACTGTGTGGACTTCACCACAGGAAAAATAAGGCATTTTCTATTGCTAATCCTTGATGGGCATTCCAGCTCAGAGGTATTTCCATTTTTAGAATTTTAATAATTAGTCCATGTGTTCAAAATAATTCACTTTCTGTTCGTTTCCAGGATTCTTCCTTGGCCATGGTATTACATGGCTATATTCCTCAATGGTCTTAAGTGTTTAACTCCCCTGAGAGAACAGCCTAGTTTGTCAGTAGTCAGGTTACTTAATTTTTTTCCCCGATGAGTCTGCATTTTGGACAATAATATTCCACTTCCCTTTTACAGTGCACCCCTCTAGAAAATAGAAGTTCACCCTAAACTTTTCCATTGTTCTACCATTACCTTTTACTATTCACACCTGCTAGTCCAAGACTACTGATTCCCAGCACATCAGGCATTTAATGTGTCTTTGACTGTGTGGTTATTTCTGCCCAACTGTTTTCCCTGAACAACATTGTTATGGTAGATGATCAAATTTAGTGTCTCTTTACTACCCAAGACCAGATTTTTGTTGTTAGTTGCCAGCAACTTGGCTCCCACCCATAGCAACCCTATTCACAACAGAATAAAACAAGGTCCTTTGCCAACCTCATAATTGTTCCTATGCCTGAGCCTATTGATGCAGCACGGTGTCAGCCCATCTCGTTGAAGACCTTCCTCTTCCTTTCCGTGACATCTAGGTGGAAATAATATTTACTGTAGAAGTTACATGTTGGACTGTGACCTATGAGGTCAGCAGTTCAAAACTACCAACTGTTTTGTGGGAGAAAGATTGGGTTTTCTACATCTGTTAAGAATTACAGTGGCAAAAACTAACAGGGCCAGTTCTACCCTGCCTTATAGGGTTGATAGAGTCCACATCAATGTGGCAGTGAATTTTTTTTTTTTAATGACCCTTTCAGGACCTTTGTTGGCACAGTGGTTAACATGCTCAGCTTCTTCAGTAGTTGGAACCCATTAAGTGACGTATGGGAGTCTGCTTCCATAAAGACTGATAGCCTTGGAAACCCGATAGAGGAGTTCTATGCTGAGCTATCAGATTTCATTGAGTCAAAATGGACACAACAGTATTAGGTGGTTTTTCTTCTTTGTTTCTGGGTATGGCCCTTTTTAGTCACAGGAGGATCTTACATTGTGATCCATATAATTTTTACTGGCTACTATATATTAGAAGTAGATCACCAGGCCTTCTTAGTCTGTTTTGGTCTGAAAGCCCTGCTGAAACCTATTCAGCATCCTAGCAACGGTAAAGCCTTCACTAACAATGGTTTGGAATTGAACCTGGATCTCCTGGGTCAACTGAGGCCTTACTGCCAACCTATGTCCCTTTTTGGGCATCTTTTATTGCATACAATTTATTATAATTCATTTATAAACCATTGAAATTACAGCCCAGTTTAACATGCTTAAGGGCAATAACCTTGACTTATTTATCTCTTTCCAGCTTTAGGATAGTTATCTGACACTTGGTAGGTTAATTGTAGAATTGGAATTCTGTAAGGGAAAATGTACAAACAGCACCTTATTTGACTTCATGGGGTATCATTTGACGTTTGAGATCTCCACTGGAGACTGTCTGATCAATTCAACAAATATGTTTTGTAGTAGTTCTACTCGTTAGGTCCCTCACAGTATTCCATTGCCTTGTTTTTACTTCATGTTGCTAGTTATGTTAGCTGAATGCACCTTTCGCCTCACTGCCATGGAGTCAGTTCCAACTCATCTCACTGCTATCCAGTCTGACACAGAGCGACCCTACAGGACAATGTACACCTGCACCTGTGTGTTTCTGAGACTGTAACTATGTATGGGAGTTTAAAAGCCTCCTTTTTCTCCTCAGGGGTGGCTGGTGAGTTTGAACTACTGACCCTGCAGTTAGCAGCCCACCACATAACCCAGCAGGGGCTTCTGAGGCTATAAATCTTTATGGGAGCATATAGCTTCATATTTCTCCCTCAGAGTGGCTGGTGGGTTTGGACTGCTAACCTTGCAGTAATCAGTCAACACTCTCTTGCCCTTACTACCTGGGCTTCCTCTCCCAGGGAATGTGAAAAGACAATGCCTTTGGCAAGAGCCTGGCTGAGTGAGACCAAAACCCAGGGAGAGAAAGAACGAGAGGTAGAGATGTGCCAGCTTGCAAGTCTGACTTCCTTCCCATTTTGTAACCTGTTAGTTTCCTTAATAAATCCTTATTTATCTGAGTTCTCTATGGCCATTGCTGTGAATTATTGAACCCACCAGAGGGGTAAAGTGCTGTGGGAGAGAAAGTTTGTGTCAGAATAGGAAAAAGAAAAATGAGGGTGGAGCTGTTACTGGCATCTGCCGCATAGGAATCTTCCTTAGATGTGGAGTTGGACTACTTCTTTTGTGGAGCCAGAAGAGGTAGTCCCCATGCCATTTCTTCAGACCCCTTTGAGACTGAACAATAGAGTTGCATAGCTGCATCCTGTTTTCCATTGGTAATCAAAATATAACTGCTTTTTTTTTTTTCATTTTGCAAGAACATTACACAGTGTTCTTGCCAGATAAAGAGTAACTGGAAAACAGAAGCTGATAGTCATGCTGTAGTCAGTATACTTGGTGGCATTGATAATTTGCTAGTGGTGTCAGAGTTCTTTCCCCCCACTTAAATAGATTTTAATTGTTTTGTATGTGTTAGCTGCCGAGGATACTCCACTGGGGGAAGACAGAGCAGTCCCTGTCTCCAGGAAGCTTTTCTTTCTTTTCTAGTCTCTAGTCTTAACTTGATGAGCCAGAATGGATGCAGTGGCAGTGACGTGGGGTGGGGTTCTTTGTTAAGCTGAGGAGGCTCCAATGAGTGTAAAAGATACCACCCCTCCCTCCCTCGAGTTTTTCTTTCTTTTTTAGTCTCTCTGAGTCACCAACGACTGGATGGTATAGGGAGTTTGGTTTTCCCGTTTATTCTTGAAAGAAGGTGTTGTGTATTCTGACTGACTTGGAAAGGAGTCCCTGGGTCATGCACATGGCAAAGTTTTCCACATCTACCTAATAGGTTGGTGATTTGAGCACACTCCTAAGACAGGCTAGTGATCTGCTTCTGAAAGGTCCCAGCCTTGGAAACCCTTTGGAGCAGTTCTGCTCACACACAGAGCTACTCTGAGTCGAAGTCGTCGACCCCAGCACCGCTGCAATGAGTGGAAAACACAAAGACCAAAATCAAAACAAAGTGAGACTTCTCAGATGGAAACATTTCTATAAAGAAATCTAAAGGTGGCATTTTAAGATTTTAGAATATATTTCATAGATAAACCTCAGCTGTTGTGTCTCACTGGTTACTGTTTCTAAATAGCAAAAATTATAAGCAAGCAAATATTTTTTTATATTGATCTCCTAGGTAGTGTAACTTCGAATCTTTTAGTAGTGGTAAATGGTTTTTGGGTTTTTCTATACACATTCAGGGACATAGGAATCTATTCATTTTTTTTAGAGATAGTTATCTAAGGGAAACAGTGTAGATATTTAAAGTTATATTCATACCTTAACATTTAGACAAAAACTTCCAAGGTTTTTTATTATTGTGAGAAAACTAAACTGATCTTTTATAAATAATCTTTATGATTTGTAAGTGGTTGGGTCTAGTCTTATGCTGTCTTCAGATGCTGCAACTTTCTACTCCCGTAAGACTTGCAGTCTGGGAAACCCACAGTGCAGGCCTATTCTGTCCTTGGGCTGTTGTGAGTCAGAATTGACCTGATGACGGTGGGAGTTTTGAGAGACTCAAAATAATACTTGCCTTAATTTAGGATAGGGCAATTTCTATTAAAAGTATTTCTGGGATATATGGTGACAGTAAAATACTTACACACCTATAGGAAGCTTTTCAGTAATAAAAGGACTGAGGAATGGTAGTACCTGTTTCAAAAACTAAACACAAATTTAAAATGTGTAAAGGAAAAATGTCACAATATACACTAGTATATAACGGGCTTTTAAGATAAATTTCTGTCTTTTTCCTGGTTAGTAAGAATTTTTACTTCTGTGGAAATCATGATCTCTATGGAAAACGAAGTATACTTAGGTTTTACACTATAAAAACTAAAGACTGTTGTAAGGGCAGCAGGTGGGTATCCTTAAATATAGGGTGGAATAGGGAATCAGTTGTGTTTCACAACACTGGAAGATAGCAATTCTGTATGTTTGTTGTAGGCCTCTATTACCATAGTCTAATGGAATAAAAGTATAAAATCTGTTATCCACCGTTGTCTACTTTTCCTTTCCCTTTATTTTTCTTTTCTGTTACCTGAATTCAGGTTACTACTTTGGTGTTGTATATGAAAATCCTAAGTTGTCTCTAGGGATCCCAAGTCAGAATTGACTTGATGAGAGTGGGTTTGATGGCCCTGGAGGTTCGGTATTGTGCTATAACCCGAAGTTGGTGGTTCAAGCCTGGGAGAAAGATGAGGCTGTCTGCTTCGGTAATGATTTACAACCACGGAAGCCCTATATAGATGCCTTCTGAGTCCTTAAGGACTCGGACAGTTTGTTTGGATTTGGGTTAAGTAGTCTTTGCCTACTATCTTGTACTTGTCTAAAGGTCGGTGAATCTGTAAGTTGTTTCTGTAAGTTGTGCGAAGCATCTGTCTTAAACAGCTTTTTATTGGCATGTTCTAGCAAGGTGCTTGGTTCATATGAGGAAACTCCAGAAAGTTTATGGATAAATGGAATGGAAAGATAATGAAGTTTTCCCAAACATTTTTAAGCCCTTGGTGAATAGTAGGTATATAAAAGTATATTTGTGGAACAAACACATCGCATTACTCCTCTGCTTAAAACCTTGAATTTATCACCACAGAGTGTAGCATTCTAGGCCTCCTATATACCACGCACATCATTTCATAATAGTTTTGTTCATAAAAAGCAGTTCATAAAAATACTGTGCAGCTTCATGGTGTAATTAATATAATCCCCTGGAATTTAAATGTCAGTGTATTCTCCATTTGTCGATTATGATCCTATTTATCAATTAAAGATACATTCTAATTTCCCTTTTTTCCCCTATCCTACTAACAACCTTTATTATCTTGTATGTAGTTTTTTTTAATAATCCTTTTTTTCTTCAATTTTTTAAATTGTAAAATAGATGGCTTTTAAATGTCAGATTAGCACTTTAATTTTCAAAGTTTAAACTACTAATCAGCCTTCTTAATCCTTTACCCTTCACTCACTCTTACTCTCTTTTGAGAAACTTTCTCCTTTTTGTTCTAGTTGTATATTGCTTGTCTACCAGCACTTAGGCTTTTACTCTAGCTAGCTGTATATTCCTTTAGTATATGGCTTGGCACATGCTTTTGAAAGGAGATCTTGGATTTCTTATTTTTTCCACAAGGTCTTAGCATGGGGTCTTAGTACATCGTTACTCTGTCAGAGTTTTCAGTTAATTATTCATGTTAATACTTATTTTTATCTATATGGTTGAAAAGACATGTTCTTAGAGTCCGTTCACTGAATTTCACTGTGAACTAGGCTAGTCTCATTTCGCTTCACTGATTTTTTTCACGACTCACTTCTGGGTCATTAGTAAAACCTCTCAAGCACACAAACTCACTCTCTTTGCTTCAGTTCCGATTCATAGTGACCATACAGACAAAGAACAGTTGCCAGTTTTGGTTTCTGAGACTGTCAGTCTTTATGGGAGCAGAAAGCTTTATCTTTCTCCCTTGGAGGGCGGTAGGTTCGAACTGGTGCCATGTGGCTAGCAGCCCAATGTGTTGCCTAGCATGCCACCAGGACTGCTTGGTCCTTTGATAAAGAGACTGAAAGTTAATAATTTGGGTTAACATTTTTTCATGTCTTTATTTATATTTGTGTAGGTAGTTGGTGTCAACTACATAGGCAGCTGAGTTTGATCATTTGCTGCCCACAAGGTTCTACCAGTCTCTGGGTGCCTTAAAGAGTAATGTTTGCCATTTGTTTTGTCTTAAGACAAATTCACTTATTTCCTGAGAGGTGTTTGAAGTAGTTTACATATTTAAAATAGAAATCAGCATTTACTATGCCATCAAACCTATAATGCCCCTACTTTCTGCTCCTTCTTTCTTTTGATTTAGGTAACATTTGTCGATCACCTATTGCAGAAGCAGTGTTCAGAAAACTTGTAACGGATCAAAACCTTTTAGATAAGGTAAGTAGTGTTCAATATCTTTTAGAGACCAGCCTGTTTTTTGGTAACTTGCAAACAAGTCTTTTTTTTCCCCCCTTTGCAGTGGAGAATAGACAGTGCAGCAACATCCACATATGAAATAGGAAACCCTCCTGATTATCGGGGGCAAAATTGCATGAAGAAGCATGGTATCCCCATGAATCACATTGCTCGGCAGGTACCGTACTTTAGCTTCAGAAAGCACATGTATTTGTTTTGTGTTACAGTGGATCATTGACAGTGGTGCTGTTTCTGACTGGAACGTGGGCCGGTCACCAGATCCACGAGCTGTAAGCTGCCTAGGAAGTCATGACATTAACTCAGCTCATAAAGCAAGACAGGTAGAAAAGATCTTGTTTAATTTCTAATGTGTAGACTCTCATAACTGGCATATGTTGCAAGAAGCTTACTCAAATTAATACATGTATTTAGGTACAATGAACTGAATGGAATTGCATTGCAACTTTTGTTTCACTTCCTGTTCAGTAATTCTGAAAGATGTGTATATTCTTACAGAGTTTACTTGTTAGTTATTAGTATGTATGTAATCGTTCTACAATGTAGAGAGCCCTAGTTCAGAGCTAGCAGACCTGAGTTGTAGTTGTCATTTTACTTCTACCTGTACAGTTTTTAGGCCTAGTATACATTAAAAAGGGAAATGGTAACGACTCAGCTTCCCAAGCTTATTGCTAGATGATAGTTACTTACTGTTTATTAAAATAGTTTATAAACTGAATTATATTAGAAATATAGAGGTATAATAATATGAGCCTGAAATTACAGTGTTGCCGTGCCAGGCTTAGATTTGAAGTCCAACAAAGTAATTACCAAAATCTGTAATCCCTAACAGGAGCCCTGGTTGCGTAGTGGTTATGCCATGGGCCCCTTACCGCTGGGTCAAGGGTTTTAACCCACCAGTTACGCTGCGAGAGTAAGAGCTTTCTACTGTAAAGAGTTACAGTCACAGAGAACCACAGGGGCAGTAGGGTCACTCAGATGCAAGTGGTTTTAAGTTTGTAATTCCATAAAAAGATAACCTTATGTTTCTATTATAAATTAGAGAATGCAATTGCTTTTCTAAGGTCCCTTATTATTTAGTATTCAAATAGACTATGAAATATTTCTCAGGTGACAATAATAATCTTATACTTAAAAATGACATTTATATTGAATTTTTGTATCCATAAGGTAGTTTTCTTTTCTATACATGAAATGTTTTAAGTGCGCACAGAATATGGAAATAATCTGGATGATCTCTGCATTCCTATAAACCTTTTCATTGCTGAATGATTTTTTGCTGTGAATATTGTGCTGATACCATGTGTTTTCAAGGAGTCTTGGTGGTACCGTTGGTTAATCACTCCTGACCTCAAGGTCTGCTGTTCAAAACCATCAACCACACTGAGGGTGAAAGATGAGGCTATCTGCTTTCTTGAAGAGTTACAGACTCAGAAACCCTCTGTGGGTCACTGTGAGCCAGAATTGACTCAGTGGTAATATAATAGAAAGCATGCTGAAACCAGTGGGGCATTTTTTCTTCTTCTTTTTGAGGTAATAGTAGATTTTGAATTCTGAGGTACACAAATATACCAAGTAAAATGTGGTATAGGATTGGTGGGGGCCCATTTCTTCAGATTCACAAACATATAGACAAATAAGTCCCTGGCAGGTGGCAGCTTGTACTATAACTGGGATAGCAGCTTCCCAGGGAACCAGAACTGCTGAGAATGTTGGTGGGCTTTATATGCCCCAATAAGCTAGACAAGCTATACCAAGTTTGCCACATTCTCCTTTTATTTGCTTTTACAAAGTAAGTTAAAGAAACACAATTAACATTTCTCCCTCTCGCAGAATAGTCAATATCCTGAAATTGTTGTTTTCTTACCAAGTTTTCATTCTTTTGTTATATATTTTATCTTTTCATAATTATATTCATTTATACAAAAATATTGATTGAACCTTTATGTCAGGTTCTGTTTTAGAAATTGAAAGTACAGCATTAAGCAAAGCTGTGTTCTACACGTATGGAGCTTAATTTGTCAGAAAAGCTAGACTGCATAGAGAGATGGTTTTGGCACAGAGGTGTGCTGAAGCGGGCTTGTAGGGGTGACCCAGCATTGAATGACTTCGGGTCACAGTGCTCGAATGGGAGCAGGAGAGTATTTTTGGTGTAGAGTAAGTGAGGAGATGGCATGAAGGCTAGGGAAAAAGAGAATCCAGCCCGACACCAGCCTAAGGCAGCTTGCCACAAGGCAGAGGTCAGCTATGCCTCTACCTCCTTTCCTTCTTTATCCTACTCTGAAAACCACCGTCCCACACGTGTCCCTCTGCTAGGTTTCATAATTAGTTTCAGTGGCTTCTCATAACGCATATGCAAACTCATGATTATGAGATTTTATTAGAGAAGTTATCAAGTTACCAAAGTCAAGATCAGAAATCACTTAGGACACAGTCCTTTGTCCATAGAACTGCCTCTTTACAGCCAGGCCAGAAGCCATCTCTCTTGTGGCTTAGCTTCTTAGCCATAGAATCCCTTAGCTTCCTCTTTATTCCATGAGCTGCAAAGTGTCCCGAACCCCCACTTCCGGCTCTGTCACATGGTCGCTTTATTCAGCCTTTCCTGCCTCTGCCACTTCAGGCAGGTTCTCTCGTGCACTTTGCTGCTGTCTCTTCTTTGTGAATGCCATGAGATTGTTTCTACTTCTGAGATGGCTCACCTACGCCAGCAGAAAGTTGAAACTGACCAACCCCGAAGTTAGTCTTGTATACCTTATTTACTGCTTATCCAGTTATTTGATAGGAGTTACTGGTAGTCTATGGTAGAAGAGCCATATAAAATAATTTCATTTCATCACAAAAGAGATAGTGAATATATTCTATCATAAATTGCTCTTAAATTTGAGCGTTTTTTGGTTTATTCATGTGCTGCATTTAGCATTAGCTTACTCTGTTTAGTTACATATTCGCATATAGATATACATATGAAAAGATGTTCAGACTCATTTGTAACCTGGAAAATACATATTAAAATCAGATACCATTACATGCCAATCAGACTGGCGAAGAAGAATAGGTCTGGCAGTAGTATGACTATGCCAGGTATCGATAAAAGTATGGGGAAATGGAGACTGCATTTTTGGTGAGGTACACTGTAGAGAACAATTTTGATGATACCTAGAAAAGTGGAAGACACTTATATCTTTTGGCTCAGCAGTTCTATATATAGCTTCAAGATTAGCACTGCTTAGTGCAACATCCTGTGACGAGAGAAGTGTTCTCTAGCTGCTCTGTCCAATGTGGCACCTACTTGCCAGATGTGGCTATTGTACACTTGAAACAGGTCTAGTGTAGAGGAACTGTGTTAATATTACTTGATTTAGATTTCAATAGCCACATGTCAATGGGGCTACCTTATAGAGCTGCCTAGTTCTATAGTCACATACATCCATGAAGAAACAAGTACAAGATTGTTCATTACTGCCTTTTAGTAATGGGCAACACTGGAAAATAATCTATACGTCCAGCAGCAGAGAATTTTATCACCATTAGCATGTGACAATGCATTTTCTTGTTCCTTTTACTGTCGTAGGGATTAATTTCTAAAGAAATCAGTTATTTGTTTCTAATACAGAATATTTTACATATTAACAGGGTTGACCGTTTCTATCATGGATAAATTTCATGGAGATTCAATTGGATTTTTAAAAAATTCTGGCCCAAATCTTAAAACTTAAATGTTTCCAATTATCTCAATTACCTATTGAGATCATAACAAAAAAATGTAGTTAGGTGACTTTACAGGACAATAATAAATCTGTCCAATTTTTTCCCCCACATAAATGATAATAAATCTGACCTAGTAGGCACAAGGTGTTTAAAGTGGCTATGTGTCAACTTGGCTGGGCTGTGATCCTCAGTGGTTTCAGCCACTATGGAAGGATGTCATTCTCCATCTAGTGATCTTATATTCCCATCCATTAATATATTCCATTAAGTGTAATCCTCCGTTTACACTTAATGCCAATTTTCACATAACAACCAGATTTTTGGAACATAACCATGTTGATACATGAGGAGTGAGTATATATTCTTATAATATGAATAGCACAGGCAAGAAAAACCTCCACTAGGAAAGAAATAGAACACTGCAAACCAAACCCACTGCTATTGGGTATTGTGACTCAGAGCAACTCCGTAAGACAGTGTGAAACTGTTATGTCCAGATATGTTGTTAATAGTATAGCATCTGTACTATTGAACCTTTTCCCCACTAGTTCTTGTTATTAGTTGTTTGTGCTTATTGAAATGAGTGTTAGCAGCTCTGTCAATATTTTTAGGTGTTTTCTCTTTAATGCTTTATTATTTTTTAAGTTAAATTTCCACTGTAAGGTTACTACTTTCTTTCAGCTTAATTTACTGTTCTGCTTTCTAAAATTTAGAGGTAATATTTTAATTATTGCTGTCGGGGCCCAACTTCTTTTCATTTATAACATATAAGATTAAAGCTTCCTCAAGGCACACGATATATCCCACAAGTATGTATGTTTTTCTTATTCAATTAAAAATCCCTTCATATTCTTGTTTTCTAAATTTATCCATTGGTTATTTAGAAATCTGCTGTCTAAAATAAACTCGGTTTTTAATTTTTTGTTTTGTTTCTGTTCTGTTTCATTGTGGTCAGAAGCTTATCCTTGACTGTAGTATTTGAATGTGAATCATATATCATGTTCCAAGTTTGAACATTGTGTTCAGATGGTCTATATTCTTATATACTTATTCTACCACTTATTTAGGTGTGTTAAAATGCCAAGCTATTGTTAAGGACTTGTTTAGTTTTTCTTTTATCTTACTCAGTTGTGGTTCTGATACTTTGAATATGTTGTTAGATGGACGCACATTTAGAATTGTAAGTATACCTCCTGTTTGATTGACTTGCAAACATAAATATCTTTTCTTTCCCCATAGACTGTCTGTCTCAAACTGGTATAGCTTTACTGACTTGTTCTGGCGACGGATACATCTTTTCTCTTGCATTTTTGGTGTGTCTGGATGATGCAAACAGTTAAGCACTCAACTACTAACCAAAAAATTAGTAGTTCAAGCCCATGAGAAATCCCTCAAAATAGGCCTGGCCGTCTAATTCTGAAAGGTCAGAACCTTAAAAGCCCTGTGTAGCAGCTCTGCCCTGCACACGGGGGTCACTGTGGGTTGGACTATACTTGACGACAACTGACAAGTTTCCAGCAGCATGACTGTTTTCAGCAGTAGTACGGAGGCATGCCAAAGCTTGCTTCCTGAATTTGTAGTTGAATGTTTTTCATAAAACTTGGGACATTCTAGG